CAGACAGATTCCATATGGAATGATGGAGGAGGCAAAGAAGGAGCAAGAAGAATTTGTACCCGGTTTCCAGGTCTGTGGCTATATCATATCTGTTTAATTCTTCTTTGGTTACAAGAACACTGGATAATAAAGCATATGTTGTTATCCATGTGTTGGACTACTAAATTATCCTGGGATTTTTCAGATATGCTTTGAAAGGAGAGTTCAGTATGACAGTGAGTGAGTGACTGAGTGAATTTAGTTTTACACCGCTTTTAGCAATATTCCACCAATATCACAGCAGGGGACACCAGAAATGGGCTTCACACATTGTGCCCATGTGGGGAATCGAACCCAGGTCTTCGGAGTGACGAGCAAACACTTTAACCACTAGGCTACCCCACCACACATCAGTATGACAGTGACAATGACAGTCCCAAGTTGATTGTCAAAGATGTTAGTGCCTGTGACATGTGACATAACATATGATAACATCATTCTTTTTTGTTTATGTTGACACAGACTTGGAGAACATTGGTTCAAACCAGGTAGGACTCAACCTGATAAAAAAAAGTTGGATTTTACTGAGATTTTACTGAGAAAGCGTACCTCCAAATATAACATACATTACATTTGACCACTTTCTTAATAGTATTGTGTATGCATAGCTTTCAGACGTGGGAGTTGTGCTAATTTACACTAGTCTGAGCAGTACACAAAGTCTGTGGATGACCAGTTGTCGGGCTTCCATTCTTGTCGAAGCCGCAGTGGCTGAATGGGTTAGATGGCTGACTGTGCGAGCTGGTGATTACGTGTCTGACTTTAAGGGTGTGGGTTTGAAGCCCAGATGGGACTCAACCTAACAAAAGTAACAGAATCTGTAATTAACTGAGAAAGTGTAATCCCAAATATAACACAAGTTAGACTGGTAGGAGACCACCAAGGCAGGAATTGTGTTAATGCAGAGTGTCTGGGTAATCAACAAGATCCGTGTGGTCCCCATGCGAGTCATCAACTACTGGTGTCTATGACTAGGATATTTACATGGGTAGGCTGGGAATAACTGTTCACCGCAGAACCCGGAGATTTAGGTTGATCAGTTGTGAGCCCATACAGAGTATAGCCAGTGAGATCTACTTTAGTGTTAGTGGCCATGGCAGAAAACTTGGTGACAAGAGGAATCCAGGTGGCAGTCACATGAACACCTAGATCTTCTCATTACAGACATGGAGACCTTGCTGGATTGAAAGAACCCTTAACCACATGCACATGGTTCTAAGAGAAACCCATTATAGAGAGTTAGCATCTGAATGACAGGTTCCGATGGTTAAGGCAGATAGACGGGAAGACTTGTGACAGACAATCATTCGGCATGGGTAAGACTGGATTGTGGTTGATGACATGTCTAGAACACCATCCAGAGACCATAGTTACAGCCATAGTTATAGTAGGAAGCGGTGAGCATTGGTTGGATGGTAACTATCCCTCATGAGGCCTCTTGGAAGCGGGAGCCTTATGAGTCAGTCTGATGTAACACTACCTCCTTATACCTGCCTGATAGTAGCAGAGAGGCAAGCATGGTTCTATTCTTTACTGTGCCCAAAGCAGCCTCTGGGAAAATCTTCTGAGAATAAACTGTTGTAACCCATTTCAAAATCCCAGCTACATGCCTGTAGCATGATTGAGGAAGGCAGACATGGCTTTGCCGGTTACTGTTCCCCATGCAACCTCTTGCCCAGCAGAATCCTCTGTGCCCTACATGTGAAGTAGGTCACTGGTAGCCTTATCAACCAACAACATCATCTACAGGGTAGTCAGTTGAGGACTGAGTTCAGATATAGCTGGATGTGAGTCAAGAAGCTAATGATGGGATCACTGGTAGCGTTATCAACCAACAACATCATCTACAGGGTAGTCAGTTGAGGACTGAGTTCAGACATAGCTGGAGGTGTGTCAAGAAGCTAAATGATGGCATCACTGGTAGCGTTATCTACCAACAACATCATCTACAGGGTAGTCAGTTGAGGACTGAGTTCAGATATAGCTGGAGGTGAGTCAAGAAGCTAAATGATGGCATCACTGGTAGCGTTATCTACCAACAACATCATCTACAGGGTAGTCAGTTGAGGACTGAGTTCAGATATAGCTGGAGGTGAGTCAAGAAGCTAAATGATGGGAAATCGAACCCGGGCTTTCGGCGTGACGAGTGAATGCTTTAACCACTAGGCTACCACACCACCTACTTCTCCTTGAAAGAAGGTCACAGTGACCTTTCACTGATTCATTTTATATCTTCTACAAAGGCCACTGTTAGCCTAAAAGACGATTGGCACCAAGGTGTTTTTATCATGGATAAGGTGGTAAATATCCTGAATTGGAGAAAGCCTTGAGATCATCAGGACATGTCAAAATGATTTTCAAGGGTTGGGAAGGCGATGCACATGACATCCCTGTACCCAAGTATCACATGGCTTTTTTTTACATATTTTCAAAATGACATCAGTATGAGTGAGTGAGTGAGTTTAGTTTTAGGCCGCACTTCAGCTATACGGCGGCGGTCTGTACATAACCAAGTCTGGACCAGACAATCCAGTGATCAACAGCATGAACATCAATCTACGCAATTGGGAACCAATGACATGTGTCAACCCAGTCAGCAAGCCTGACCACCCGATCCCGTTAATCGCCTCTCACAACAAGCATGGGTTACTGAAGATCAATTCTAACCCGGACCTTCATGGGTATGACATCAGTATGACCTTAAACATGCACATAGAAGACTCAGAGCATTTCCAGATTGTGGCCCCACCCAAAGGATAGCATATACAGTGAAGCCCCGTTAGTCCGGACTCCGATAATCCGGATGTCTCGGCTCCCGGACCATGTCAGCTTGTTACCAATCTATGCCTATATAATTTGCCTCGATAATCCGGAAATTCGGTTTCCGGAACCGGACGGTAAGAAGCTGTCACCAATCAGTAAAATAAACAGTAAATTGCTTCACAGTCCGGACGCTGTAAGTCGTGTTCACGAACCGTTACAACACCTCCCCGGCGATGTTTACTTAATCAACTGGCCAACTGGGTTGTTGTTTTAATTTGACAGTAAAAGCTCCCGACTGAAGATGCTGTACATTTACACTTTGATTGACACCACAATACAAAGGCGCGGATGACAAGTGAGCTGTTTTGTGATTGGTTAATGTACTTTGACAGACAGATGCGGTCACGTGGACTTAAAGTGATTTTGCTTTACGACAACGCTGCAAGTCACAAGTGTGCTTCGCTAACTTTTCGAAATGTGACCAAATGCCACATCTCAACATGCGGATGTCACTCGGTAAAATTATTGATGTGATGAATTCAATAAGCTTTACATTAAATGCTTATTTGTTTTATCCAGATTCGTGTCGTTTTTGTAAAAGTAAGGGAAGCAACTTGGGTCTTGATTCAGTAGTCCCGGACTATTTGCAATCCGGACGAATTTGCTGAGAAACGCAACCGTCCGGATTAACGAGGCTTCACTGTACCATGTTTCACTGACATACAGTGATTACTTCTTGAATTATCTCTTAAACATACGTGAACAACATTTTAATTGTTACGACCAGGAGTATGACCTTCACCTGTAACATGGACGAGCAATGAGTGGAAACTTTCCCTTAAGATAAACGTGACATGAAAATGTGGTTACAGCATTCAAATTCAGACAATCGTTAAAGGATAAAAATTTACAGGTACAGTTTTACCATTGATATTCGATAATTTGTCACCTCAAAGTTGTAGACTGGTATCAAAGAAGAATGTACAAAGTTCATATGTAATACAAAGTTTATAACTGCTATTTTATTAGTCAAGTGCATTATCTTTCTCCCACCAGAAGGTATAGACCTTAAAAACTGTGCATCTAAAACCTAACCAACAGTGTGTGAATTGCAGACGGCAGTTTGTGGCCAAACAGAGTAATCTGACATACCTCAACTCTTAGATGTTCTTATACATTTTGGAAAAAGGTTAATATTCCACAAACAAACCATGACACAAAAATGTCTCATTTACATGTTGTCACAAACTAATTCAATTCAAATCATATGAATGGTCTAATGTACAAAACTTGATATTGTCTGAAAGGCTACTTTATGAGCTGGGAAGTGTGGTTGTGTACATGTGAAGGAAGAATGGGAGTATGTTACTAGTAACATTAATACTTTACTATTTCAAGTTTACAAGGGAAAGTAGAAGGATTCGGTATTTGGTGGCCATCTCATGTAACTTGCAGTTGTCAGATTCTGGTTTTTAGATCCAAGATGGCTACAACATTAAAATGGCATTTCTGATGCCTTGCATAAACCTGAACAACATGATCCGAATCAGTCAAGCCATTCAAGAGAAAATGTAAACAGGTCATGTAAAATGATGGCAACTCATGACTTACTTTCAGGTACACTAAAAAATGTTTTGGTGATCAAAAGCTCTGTGTATTGTGTGTTATTAACTTGACCTTTAAAGACTGACAAATTTGTTTGTTGGTAACTTCATCTATTAAGAGAGACAATATTGTTTGTTGGTAACTTGAACTATAAAGACAGCTTACTGTATTCACATTTGTGCGTGTGGTCAGAGGTATGGAAACTATTTGTACAATTGCCATGTGGTTGGGGAGGTTGAAAAATGGAAATTGATTTTACATGTCAGAGTTCACGTTCCATCTATTTCATAAACATCCTCTAAAGATTGATAATATCATGAACATCAGTTGTGAGAGATAGGATACTATGAAGGATGCATTCTTTAGTGTGATAAAGACCTTTACTTCTTGTAGCCTTGACCATGTGTAGAATGTTATGGCAATATGATTTTATGTCAGTCAGCAGCTTTCAAGAACTGTAAAATACATAGGCATAATTAACAAATGAACACATTCTGGATGGCCTGAGTAGGCATATCTCAACACAAAGAGCTATCTCTCCAATATGTAGCACTGACTGCTGAACCATGAGAAGTAAGTGACATGCGACTTGCCTTGAGTTCCTTGAAAAAGAAGCAGCTGCGTGCCCATTCCACCATGAGGAAGAGCAGCTGGTCAGTCATCTTACACATCAGTTGTAGGAAATGCTCTGGGTGTCCTGCTACATCCAGCTGCCCAAATTCTGTCTGTAGAAATGATAATAGCTTGTGTTTGACCTCCGCTTCTTCAGCCATACTTGACTTTAGGTCTGCCACAAGCTGGGGAGGCATGATGGCTGTGGACACCTGAGGTGTTGATGGGTGGTAGGTGCGCAAGGCGTCCATCACTGAGGGGTAGGAGGATGACATAGGATAAGAGTTTAGAGGTGACAGAGCACGATGATGTGAGGTTAGAGGCAGTGGACTCGAGGTATGTTGGGCAGTGTTGATTGGGTTACTGTTGCTGTTACTGTTGTTGCTGTTGCTGTTATTGTTATGGTTACCAACAGGAGGAGATGGACATGTTATGCTAGTCTGACCACCCATACTTCCAGGGGGTGAATCTATTCTGTAAGAGATGTTTAAGAGAGCTGGATCTGGCTTGATGTCTTCCGGGGACCCAGGCATCGCTGCCATACCATTGGCGAGTCTCATCTGGCAATGGGACACAATCTGCTGCTGCTGGCGAAGAGCTTGCTGCTTTAAGGCTCTGTCTCGCTTGTACATTGGACCAAACTTGTTTCTCCCTCCTCGCATTCTGTCTGATCTCACAGCTGTGGAAAGAAAAAGACAGTAAATAACAATTGGTTTACAATTTACAGTTACAGACATACCCATATAAATAAAAGCAACTTCAAAAATTCATACCAGCACACATGACCAATGCATCAATGTGAAAACGAACATATAACATATGCTTCTCACTCATAGGTCACTGAAACTACTCTCCACCTTCAAGTTTTTAAAAAATTTAATAACTAACAACTTAAATAAATCACCAGTAATAGAGATATTTGAATGGACATTTTACAGAGGGTATGCACAACACAGTTTCTTGTGGCCTTTTCATGACATGTGCAAAATGAATTGACCTTGGCCATTAGAAAGATCACCATGGAACGTAACAGTATCTGATGTCCATAAACATTGTGTTGTGGGTCTTAAAGGGAAACAAAACTCCAAGTTTTAGTCATCCTGACGGTACCACTATAACTATTCTGCAGAATCAAAGGAAGCACCTTGATTTCCCATATTTAATCAAATTATGCTTTTGAAAACCTTTAACTTCAGTGCACAGCAATCACATTTGGGATGTGGAGATGTTTGATGTTAGAATTAGTCTTCAGCAACCCAAGTCATATGGGGCGATTAACTTCTTGATCAACAGCTCGCTGATTTGATTCACACGTCATCATATCCCAATTGCACACACATCGATGTCAATGCTGTTGATCACTCAATTGTCTGCTTCGCAATCAATTATTTACAGACTACCGCCATATACCTGGAATACTCCCGAGTGCAACATGTTATGTAACATGCATGTGACAGTGCAGCAACAGTGGAATGGCCAGTTGAGATGCCAAAATATTCAATCAAAGAATTTACCGATAACAATTGATTGATTAACCACTGATATCTTGCACAGTTGATTCAACAAAAGTGTTTATACATGTAGATTTACTGATGTCTTGCACAGTTGATTCAACAACAGTGTTTATACATGTAGATTTACTGATGTCTTGCACAGTTGATTCAACAACAGTGTTTATACATGTAGATCTACTGATGTCTTGCACAGTTGATTCAACAACAGTGTTTATACATGTAGATTTACTGATGTCTTGCACAGTTGATTCAACAACAGTGTTTATACATGTAGATCTACTGATGTCTTGCACAGTTGATTCAACAACAGTGTTTATACATGTAGATTTACTGATGTCTTGCACAGTTGATTCAACAAAAGTGTTTCTACATGTCGATTTACTGATGTCTTGCACAGTTGATTCAACAACAGTGTTTATACATGTAGATTTACTGATGTCTTGCACAGTTGATTCAACAAAAGTGTTTATACATGTAGATTTACTGATGTCTTGCACAGTTGATTCAACAAAAGTGTTTATACATGTAGATCTACTGATGTCTTGCACAGTTGATTCAACAAAAGTGTTTATACATGTCGATTTACTGATTTCTTGCACAGTTGATTCAACAAAAGTGTTTATACATGTAGATCTACTGATGTCTTGCACAGTTGATTCAACAAAAGTGTTTATACATGTAGATTTACTGATGTCTTGCACAGTTGATTCAACAACAGTGTTTATACATGTAGATCTACTGATGTCTTGCACAGTTGATTCAACAACAGTGTTTATACATGTAGATTTACTGATGTCTTGCACAGTTGATTCAACAAAAGTGTTTATACATGTAGATTTACTGATGTCTTGCACAGTTGATTCAACAAAAGTGTTTATACATGTAGATTTACTGATGTCTTGCACAGTTGATTCAACAACAGTTTATACGTTTAGATTTACTGATGTCTTGCACAGTTGATTCAACAACAGTGTTTATACATGTAGATTTACTGATGTCTTGCACAGTTGATTCAACAACAGTGTTTATACATGAAGATTTACTGATGTCTTGCACAGTTGATTCAACAACAGTGTTTATACATGTAGATTTACTGATGTCTTGCACAGTTGATTCAACAAAAGTGTTTATATATGTAGATTTACTGATGTCTTGCACAGTTGATTCAACAAAAGTGCTTATACATGAAGATTTACTGATGTCTTGCACAGTTGATTCAACAAAAGTGTTTATACAAAAATGATAAGGTTACCATAGAAGTCTATGGGAAAACATTTGGTGTTGTGTAACCTGCAGTGTGTCTGTGTGAGCACAGGGATGACTGCTCCTACAGTACTGGCTATGATGTTCATGGATCTTGTTGGGGTTGAGTTGATACATGTTGATACGGAATATTGTAGCAGACTTCTTGATTACTCAGTGAAGGGTGAGTGAGTGAATGAGTTTTAGTTCTAAGCCGCTTTTAGAAATATACTAACAGTATCAAAGCGGGGGATACCAGAAATGGACATCACACATTGTACCCATGTGGGGAATTGAACTTGGGTGTTTGGTGTCATGAGCGAACGCTTTAACCACTAGGCTACCCCACAGCCCCGCATGAATGAGTGAATAAGACCAGGCACCATCACAAGACTGTGAAACCGTTATCAGATGCAGGGGTCAACACACGATCAACCCAGATGCTTGTAGCTAAGCACCATCACAAGACTGTGAAACCGTTAACAGATGCAGGGGTCAACACACGATCTACCCAGATCCTTGCATCGCCAAGCACCATCACAAGACTGTGAAACCATTATCAGATGCAGGGGTCAACACACGATGTACCCAGATCCGTGTATCTATAAACACCATCACAAGACTGTGAAACAGTTATCAGATGCAGGGGGCAACACACGATGTACCCAGATCCTTGCATCGCCAAGCACCATCACAAGACTGTGAAACCATTATCAGATGCAGGGGGCAACACACGATCTACCCAGATCCTTGCATCGCCAAGCACCATCACAAGACTGTGAAACCATTATCAGATGTAGGGGGCAACGCACGATCTACCCAGATCCTTGCATCGCCAAGCACCATCACAAGACTGTGAAACCATTATCAGATGCAGGGGCAACACCACGATCTACTCAGATCCTTGTATCGTAAGCACCATCACAAGACTGTGAAACCATTATCAGATGCAGGGAGCAACGCACGATCTACCCAGATCCTTGTATCGCCAAGCACCATCACAAGATGGTGAAACCATTATCAGATGCAGGGGGCAACGCACGATCTACCCAGATCCTTGTATCGCCAAGCACCATCACAAGACGGTGAAACCATTATCAGATGCAGGGGTCAACACACTATCTACTCAGATCCTTGTATCGCCAAGCACCATCACAAGACGGTGAAACCATTATCAGATGCAGGGAGCAACGCACGATCTACCCAGATCCTTGCATCGCCAAGCACCATCACAAGACTGTGAAACCGTTATCAGATGCAGGGGGCAACACACGATGTACCCAGATCCGTGTATCTATAAACACCATCACAAGACTGTGAAACCATTATCAGATGCAGGGGGCAACACACGATCTACTCAGATCCTTGCATCGCTAAGCACCATCACAAGACGGTGAAACCATTATCAGATGCAGGGGTCAACACACGATCTACTCAGATCCTTGCATCGCCAAGCACCATCACAAGACGGTGAAACCATTATCAGATGCAGGGGGCAACGAACGATCTACCCAGATCCTTGCATCGCCAAGCACCATCACAAAACTGTGAAACCATTATCAGATGCAGGGGTCAACACACGATCTACCCAGATCCTTGTATCGCCAAGCACCATCACAAGACGGTGAAACCATTATCAGATGCAGGGAGCAACGCACGATCTACCCAGATCCTTGTATCGCTAAGCACCATCACAAGACGGTGAAACCATTATCAGATGCAGGGGGCAACGCACGATGTACCCAGAGCCTTGCATCGCCAAGCACCATCACAAGACTGTGAAACCATTATCAGATGCAGGGGGCAACACACGATCTACCCAGATCCTTGTATCGCTAAGCACCATCACAAGACGGTGAAACCATTATCAGATGCAGGGGGCAACTCACGATGTACCCAGATCCTTGCATCGCCAAGCACCATCACAAGACTGTGAAACCATTATCAGATGCAGGGGGCAACACACGATCTACCCAGATCCTTGTATCGCCAAGCACCATCACAAGACGGTGAAACCATTATCAGATGCAGGGAGCAACCCACGATCTACCCAGATCCTTGTATCGCCAAGCACCATCACAAGACAGTGAAACCATTATCAGATGCAGGGGGCAACGCACGATCTACCCAGCTCCAGCTGATGACATGTCACAACTCTAGTGTAGGACAGGTACATACGAGTGATAGACGCACCACTGGGATTAACACAGTAGGCAACTGAATGATGCAAACATCACACACCTGTACCTACACAACTTAAACAGGTCTAATAGTGTCTGAGGATATCATTCAGTTATCAGCTGGGTGAGTGACTGCATACTGTAAGGGATGTAAGCCATGTTGTTTTTGGTAAGTTTCTTACCACTATCAGACAGAGACTAAACAAAACAAAAACATCTAACAGCTTTGGTCAATACCACACTAATCTGCATAGGCAAAAATATGAGAATATCAAGGCTAAATATGGAGTGTTACACAAGACAATTCCTGATATATGCATTTTTGTGGTGGATGAAATACACAACTGTGAATATAAACTGTTTTACATCCTCCATATTCACTAAACTTGGCCATGAAAACTTGTAGGCATTGTGAAAATTATGGAAAGACTGTTTATCACCAAGCCTCCGTCCTCAGGCAGGATGCCACCATAGACTGAGTCAAGCAAATGACAAATGGTACATGGGAGATGTGTAACAGTGCATACATGATACAACATACAATTTCCAAACATGCTCCCTTTCTGCAGTTTCTTGCATAACAGGTGAAACACGAAAATATATCTGCATCTGAACATCTGACATGAACAAGGAATGACTGGCTTTATCTTCAGGTCTTACTTGTTTAATTTTAGTTGTTGGAAACCCCCTGCTGTTTTCTGCAATATTTTGCAAAATGAACCTTGACAGTTATAGCTCCTGGT